TATTTTTTGGTGCACAAATAGAATGGTAAGTAGAATTGAGGCCTTTATAACAAAGATTAATGCCAATTTCCCTATCTACTGGTAGAAATTATTTAAAAGAAATGATTTCATATGCATCAAATCATGAAAACTTTACACTGAATAACCATGAAGAAAAAGTCATATATGATATACCTTGTCCCTCTCAATCTGTTCCTTCAACTGAGAAAGTTCCAGCTCCTTCTGATGCTAAAGATAAAAAAGAGATGGAGTGGGAAACATCAGATTTCAACTTCAGCACAAGATATTTGAAGCAGATGAAATATAAACCCATACCAACATAAATTTGAGACGATCAATGTCAACTTGATTCTCATTTATTTTTATCTGTACCATAGAGAAAGAAAACTCTTTAAAAAAATGTCAGGAAATTCAATTGCTTGGATCTAGCAATATCTTAGTAACATTCTTGATAAGTGTATGTACCTCAGCGCCCAAGACCTTGTCAATTTGATCATTTGAAGCTTCAGTTGAAGGTTGATCGTCCCTACAAATAGTGTCAAATGATATGGGTTTAGAAAGGTGATCAAATTCCAAAGAGGGCATGGCAAGTCTGATGAAACTTGGATATTTTTTTGGTATAAAAAACAATCATTTGGGCAACCACAAAGATGACAGAAAATCACATAAAAGACTTTGAATATGGCAGTCTTGCTGTTTGAATTCCTAACCTAATTAATTGACCAACAGTTGTGGAAGATATAACATGCTCAAATTCTGATGCACTCCCATTTGATGCCATCACAGAACCTCTATTTGTGGTATCTTCTGAGGATGCCTCAACATGGGAGTTTATTTCAGATTCTTCTGCATTGACGGCTGTAAGGGATCCATTGCCTTCTCCAGCTCCGATCTCGCTTAATGTGGCATCGAAATTATCTGAGCATCAATGCATTGTCACGTGCTCAACTTCAAGTTTTCAGAAGCACCAGATTATATAAGGCAAAAGCAGGATAATACTTGACAGAGAGTGTTTTTATTTATGCAAAGACATTGAAACTAGTGGGACTCGAAAAGAATATGCACAGCAACATAATACTTAAATAAGATATGAAATTATCTCTAACATCAAATTCCTGGAAATACAGATCACAAATTTTACGAGACATACATTACAAGCATCAGCTTTCACCGCCACAGAAATTACACACATTGTCAATCACAAGAATCACAGTGAAGCTGACCAACCGGAGGGTGAGATGTACAGAAAAATTTCCTCCAACATAAAATTTCTCAATAGATAATGTAATTTTCTAATCCTCTATAAACCAAATCTAAACCTTATTTATATGAAGTAACCGAAGCTCAAGAAAATTAACACATCATAAGAATTTGTGGCTAAAGTGAGAAACATAACAAAGACTTCATGACTATCAATGTGCATCTAACTTTGGACAACAATTATAAAAAATATTCTGATTTTGCATCAGATGATAACAAGTATGATTGATTCCAAACATAAGCATTAAGGCACCGTGTTTTATTGTGAGTTGTGACCACAACACCATTGATGTTGATTTTAAAACCGAATCATACAAAATACAACTCTAATGGTTCTAAATGCAAAACTACGCAGCCTGTGCTGTTGAACTGTGTGATTCTCCATATCATACAGAATACTAATTGATGCTACAGATGACGTTGGAAAATTACCTACAGCATCCATATAGAAATTTATGTTGACACTCTAAAATTAATAGTCGATGCAACTTACCATCTATCATTTCCAGATCTCCATTTTGAATAAATCTAGCCACCTTCTCTGCTAGGGATAACTCCTCTGAATATTTTATCAACTTGTAATTAGACTCTTCATGTTCAAGACCTTTAACAATATCTAAATCACTAGATTGGTCATCCATGACAGTCATTTCTGGCGATAAGGAGAAGTCATCAACATTGTTATCTACTTTATCTAGCTGTTCATTCGAACAATACGAGGCCTCTTCCTTTGAGGAGGAACCAGTTGTCAATAGCAGAGGTTTGTCATCATGGTCATGAATGTCGAGATATCCATCAACAGTGGAATTTATCATATAATTCTCACCAGAAAGGACTTTGGGTGACTGGGAAGATTCATCAACCATATTGTCTATTACCTCCATTTGACATTCCAGTGAATTTTCAGGATTTTCCACTGATAAATTCTTTGTAAATTCAGTTTGCTCTCCAGTGAAGTCATTACTCGTAACATCTGAACCAATATTTGAACTACTAAAAGAATCTACTGAAACGGTGACTTCAGTTTTCAAGGATGTATCATCTTCAACTTTCTCCATGTTCTCATTATTTTCACTATGAGATTCGTTGTATTCGTCATGGCATATTCGATCATTTGGCAGCTCTTCCACCACTGATAAATCGGCTGTACTTGTAGGAGCCAAAATATATTCATTGGAATTAAAAGCGTGGTTGGTATTTGAACTGGGAGAAAGATTTTCCAAGACCGGAACTTTGTTTGGTGAAGAAAGGTCTTCAACTACATCTTTCACCTCGCCATCCTGGCCTTTTGAGAAATAGAAGGTTATCAAATATTCGAACGAGAAGTCGTGATTTATTAACACAGACGGATTGAAGAATCATGTATTAACCTGTCAGGAAAACGTTCTCTAAGTCACAATCAGTTTGAACTGTATTGGTTGAGTTGGTAACAAGAAGCTCTCGTATAAGTTTGTGGCCCCTTCGTCTGACGATATTCGCCAGGTCAATCCTGAATACATTCAAACCAAGCATTTAATCAACAACCATCAAAAGTGCTCCAAAAGAGAACACTACACCTCGAGCTTGCTAAGGTAAAACACGAGAAGAGGTGTTCAGAAACCTTATATGCCTCTCCACATCTTTTTCTCATTCTAGTTTCAGAATTTATAATTAGAATCATAAATCATGCAACTCCATTTAACACGAAAACGAGAACACTGAACAGACAAAAAAGAACCTTCCGTGCTGCAATAGGTCCTTTGTGGAAGGTACGTGATCCTTCGGAAGTCCGACCGATTCAATGAACTCGCGAATGTCATTGCAGAGTTCCTCATTACTCTTCGTCCTTCTACTAGCTCTGAATCACAAAATTCCACCACAAAATCAAAACTAAATACGAAAAATTATACACCTCGAGATTAACCTCCCATACCACGGAAAACGAGGCCAGAAATGACGAAGAAACCAAACGCAATGGAGGTAGAAAAACCTGGAATTCCTGATAGAACAAGCACAAACGGAGTACTCTCTTCTCGAAGGACGGTGGTGATGGAAGCCGAAGCAGTGAAGCAGCTTGGTGTGGTGATTCCGCGTTTGCAGTTGATCCAGGAAAGAAAAATTGGGAGAAGAGAGAGAGAAGAAGGAGGGAAAATGAGAATTAGTAGCCATGGAAAAGCGAAATCCTCAGTCTCTCACCGCGAATTCTGTGAGCGAGCATTTGCAGCTTTTGTCGCGAGGCGATTCTCGTTCGCGGGGAGCGGGAATGAAAATTGTTCGCGGAATCACCACCATCGCTACTTTAATGTATTGAGAAAGATCGCTTAAGAATAATATAAAAACATCACATCAACTCATTCATTTTATTTTTGTAATACAATTCATTTATTAAACCCCACCATAAAATATCTCAACCAAAGTATACAATCAATCACAAACTATTTATAAATTACTTTCGCACGTATAAAAATTATTAAAACATAATAATACATTCGAAGTGTGAGTTAAGCTTTTTCCTTTTTTTCTTTTTTCTTTTTTTTTTGGTTTAAAAAATGTCCATTTAAAAAAACAAAAGAACGTGGTCTATGAATGAACGGGTGGACCAGAGGTAGCTTCTGGCTCAAACCTAATGGGTTCCAATATTCCGCTTTTTTCGATGTGATTTATTTCAAGAAAGTGTAAAAAGCTAAATAATCCTTTTTTTCTTTTTTCTTTTTTTTTTGGTTTAAAAAATGTCCATTTAAAAAAACAAAAGAACGTGGTCTATGAATGAACGGGTGGACCAGAGGTAGCTTCTGGCTCAAACCTAATGGGTTCCAATATTCCGCTTTTTTCGATGTGATTTATTTCAAGAAAGTGTAAAAAGCTAAATAATCTCGTTTTTGATGAGAAAATCTCTCTATACTCCTTTTATTTTATATCTCAATGAGAATTGTGCACCGTTCTGAATCAGTCTCACCGATTAAATGAATATCTCTATTTAAGAGTGGGTTCAAAATTTAAATTAAATTCAAATGTTTATATAAAAATAATATAATTTTCACTTTCTTCAAACTTTTTGTTTTTAATTTAGTCTTAGTAGCGTTTTTTTTTTGGTGGTTGATTATTGCAAGTCAATAGCGTGATTAAACTGACAATGACATAAAAAACTACACGAACGCGAAGCTTAGGAAAAAGTTAATCATGGGTTTATTATTATTATTATTATCATAATCACACTTAAAAAAATATTCTTTCCAAATTAGTCGGCGAGTTGTAGCTCTTCCAACTCGAGTTTCGTTGGGTCATCGTAAACTATATCGTCGCGTGATGCACGCATTCATTGAATTAAGAAAAATCCCCAAACAAAATGAAAATGGAACCGGAACAAAACAAGATTTGCAAGAGGGAAAAAATATTAAAACTAAGTGTATAAACTAAATGATATCTTTGACGAGAAAATTCTTTGTCTTTTACAGTTATTGAGTATGGTTGGGAGGGAGTCCCAAATTGGCTAATACTTTCGGAAATCCTCGTGCTAGAAACTAAAAACAATAATAATTATAGAACAGTTCTATATATAGAAATTTGAAAGTAGAAAAACAAACTAGAAACAAAAACATTACCAAATTATTGATTTAAGGATGAAAAACAACGGTCTAAAGTGATGTGGTTCGTTTGTCGTTAAACATTACGTATATATATATATATATTGTCGCATCTTCACCGATTGTATTCAAGCTTACAACAATAAGCGGCATCTCCGCCGGCCCGCCGGCCCCTTTCACCTTATAATTCAATCATTATCAATATAATGCATTTTGTTCTCCGCCTTCTCTTCCCTCTTTTCCTTTCCATCTCTCTCTTCTCAGGTTTGGATTCTGTGCTTATTTCATTTACTTCACAATTTCTGTTTCTTCTCTCTCTGATTTCTTCCATTTAGGACGAGTATCGGCTGGTGGCGTTTACAATCACCACCTCCGCCACCGTTTCCGGCCTACAAAGCTGTTTGTTTTTGGGGATTCCTATACTGATACCGGCAACATTCTTTTTCCCATTTCCCCCGGTCTGCAATTTCCTTATGGAATTACCTTTCCAGGAAAACCCATTGGCCGTTTCTCCGATGGTCGTGTTCTCACCGATTTTGCAGGTAAACAAATCTGTGTCTCTGTTTCTGTCTCTCTGTTTCGCCGATTTTCCGACCGTCCTGTTCTTACTAAAAACAAATGGCTGTCAAAGGAGGCCTTAAAATGATCTTAATCTCGAAATGTAATGGAACGTATGGGAATAATTGAATGCAGCGAGGCATGTCGGGTTGAAATCTCCGATCCCATTCAGTGTCCGAAACAGAGTCGGGTTGAGAAGATTCAAAGAAACAGGAGTAAACTTTGCATTTGGGGGAACCGGCGTCTTCGACACAGAGTATCCTTTGCCAAACATGACAACCCAGATCGACTTATTTCAACAGCTCCGACATGGCGATTCCGTATTCACCAATACAGACGCTCAATCCTCTGTCGCACTCGTATCTGCTTCCGGCAACGACTATTCCTTTTACTTCGCCATGAACAGCTCTAGACAGGTATCAATCAACTCCGCAATCTAACCCCAAGAGAATCACAAACTGAAATTCCGATGTGTTTTACAGGGATTGAAACCGTTCATAATGTCGGTAGTGAATCAGATCATCGTGAATTTGAAACGCATTGGGGGGTTGGGAGTGAAGAAGATAGCGGTGACAGGGCTAGGCCCATTGGGATGTCTTCCGGTATTTACAGCGCCCTCATCATACAAGAAATGCAATGAAACAGTAAACTCGTTGGTGCAGTTTCACAACTTTTTGTTGAAGGAAGCTGTGAAGAAGCTGAACCAAGAAACGAAGCATTCTTCGAAGGTGTTTATTGTTGATGTGTATGGGGCGTTCATGTCCATAATTGAAGGGCGGAAGAGATACAACAATGGAGAGTTCAAGACGCCATTGAAGCCGTGTTGTTTTGGAGTGAAGAGTGGATTTGATTGTGGGAGTGTGGATGGAGAAGGGAAGAAGATGTTTGTGTTATGCAAGGATCGGAAAGCAGCCTTCTTTTGGGATTCAGTGCATCCTACGCAACAAGGTTGGGCTGCTGCATTTTCTGCTTTTAAAAGCTTTCGCAACCATTTTTAAGTTGAATTAATGGAGGCTAATATTATGGCATTGTGCCACCACACCCACCATACCAATATGTACAAATAAACCCCTTCCATATCAAAATCAATTGCTTTCATCTTTTCAACCATTTTCATACTTGCGAGATTTAGGTATCGTGCGATGTGAGGGATGATCATTTACTCGCGTAATTGGTCAGAACACGGCCATTCGGGAAACATCCATCGAGATGGAGAGTCTTGAGAGCCTAACTACAGCAGAATCATAGTAAAATCTAGGGTTTTATGGTTAGTTCTTCCATCGGACTCCAGAGCCCTAGCACGCGAGGGAGAGAGACAGACATTTAATTACAGTAGGGAGAGAGCAATAAAGATATCGTATTTAGGCTAAAAAACGACGTCGTATAATCGTGGTGGAAGCTGACTAGAGCTGTTGATTCCTCTAGTTTGGTTCAAATTTTACTATTTTCTTCATACTTATTTATTTTTTGGAGAACCCTTCAAACTTTGAACATTTTAATATAAACCTTGCACATCAAATATTATATCAAACAAGTTATTAATAATTCATGTTTTCAAACTTTCCCATTATTAACTCATATTACCATTTTTTAATTTAACTTTTTTAATATTTTCAATTTTGAAAATAAAAAGTGAAAAAAATATTGAATATTGCCTAAATTTTCAAATTTAAAACAAATATTGTACTCATGCAAACTCATTATAATAAACTTCTAAATCCTATTTACCTTTTAATATTGCCTAAATTCTTTTCAAATTTAAGGGAATTATTATGAAAGGAAAAAAATTGATAATTTAAAAATCTATTAAGAGTTCAATTCATAAAACAATTACACATTTTTATATTAATACTTGAAAAAAAAAGATTTATTAGATAAAAATGTGAGAGTTCAAGAGCCAACATCTTAACATCTTAAAGACAGAACCCATTAGACACAATTATTAAAATTCGAGAACTAAACTTTTAATTTAAATACGTATCCCATGTTAAATCAGTCACAAACAATTTCAATACAAAGCTATCTGAAATAGGAAAATGTTTGAATGGAAAGTTTGATATCTAAGCGAAACATATGAATAAATAATCGGTGGAAGAGAAGAATGAAGGTTAAGTTAGTTGAGTTCATCAAGTTTGACCTCGCGTTGCTCACCTGAGGAAAGATCTTTTACTCCGACCATGCCTCGTTGCCATTCTGAACTTCCGACTAGTATCAACCGCTGAGCGTTTATCCGTGTCGCTCGTTTAAACACCCTGCAAAAGATGAAGCAAATCAGGGTGGATCAGAAATTGTGATAATTTTGATGAGGTTGATCGGGTTTGTGAATGATACCATTTGAGAGGTTTATTCTCCAATACCAAATCAACAGTTTGGCCTTTTCCCCTAAGAATGGTAGCAACTCTTGAAGCTGCGCCTTGGAGATCAGGATCCAGAGCACAAACTATGTTCTCTACTTCAACATTCAGTTCTGGCAGCAACTTCTTTTCCTTGAGCAACTACAACCAAATCGCACGTCCAGGCACAAAACAAATATCTCAAATCCGAGCTATCGACAAGTATGATAAAAAAAAGTGTATTCCTCAAAAGGCATGTTGATTTGAGTGGTTTGGTTCAACATAATGTTGATCATAGAAATGATCCATGAAATCGGTATTAGTGACTTGAATTAAAGGGTGTACTTCCAATGGGTGGGGAACCATCTCAGTTCCATTGTTTTCATTGGTTTTTTTATTTCAACATGATTTGCAGTCAGCTATGTGCGTTCTTGTGATGGGGTATGACAGTTTTCGGTAAAAGTGGGTTATTTTGATCATATGGATGTCTTCTACCTAGGATTAAGCATTTTACTGTTCAGTTTAGGATTTTGTTTTTTTAATTTTTTGTACCTACTTTGTATTTTTCATAGATCAATTTGAGCATTTCTATGACTTGAATTTGAATGCTTAGTTAGCTGAGATTGTGTGGTTTTTTTGGCTAGTGATGAACAATGTTCTAATTTAGTTTTGAGAAGGTATTGATTTCACCCCTTGTTCAATACTCAATAAAACAAAATTGAAAGTTTTCCCTGAGTATGAGTTAGTTTAACACTCCTCAACTAAATCTACCAAACAACAACTTAATCCTAAAAGATTTGATATCAAGAAATTGGTAGGATACTTAATAATACATGAGATAAACGGCCTACATGGTTTGAACCAAAAGATTCTTAACTATGAGCCAATTCAAGGTGGTTATTAAATAATGAACAGTCGAACACAGTTGATCAAAAAACATGACGTTAATAATATCCTCAGTAAAAGTTCATCCACGTTACGTTCTATGATTAATATTAAGCATATAATTCATAGAATTTTTTTATGATTGTGTAAGGATGCAGAGTTCAGCTTAAAACGTACCTCTACTATAACAGCATCACCAAACCCGAACCCACAAGCAGGAAGATCGTCACCACCAAAGGTAGAAAGCAAACGATCATACCGACCCCCACCACATATGGCTCGCAGCTTTCCCCCTCTGTCAAACCCCTGAAAAAGCATCTTCATAATTAAAAGGAACCGAAAGAGCAATTTCATGGCATTGTCTTTCCTTCAATTAAACTGATACAATGACAAGAGAGAACAAATACGACTTTGATCAGTTTACCAATTATTTCCATAAAACAATAAGCAAGAGATAAATATAGCCAAGTAACATTTATTTATATGAAGACAGAGTTCATGAAGAAATATTGACTAAAGAAACGAGGAAAAAGAATAAACACGCATATTGTTCAGTTGCAGCAATTATGTTTGACGATATACAAAGAAAACATACTGTTACCAATCCATTCCTTAGCTGGATATTATATTTATTATCAAATACACCAAGATATATGAAATTATTTGATATTCAAAATTTCATATAATTTTTAATATTAGACTATACATGGGGATTGTAGCCATTTAGTGTGAAGCTTTGCCGACATTATTCCATTTACATGAGAATCTAGAAGCTCACTGTAGTTTAACGTGTCGAACGTGGCATTCAGTCAGTTAATGACATATAATATATGTTTGACCTATTCTACAGCATGAAGACAAGTCAAATCAACAAGGAGTGAATATCAAATACCAACCTCAAAAACAATACCAGTGTAATAAGCAAGGCCGCGGACAATTGACGCGTCGAATTGGATCCAATCAGAATAACCAAACTTCTCAGCAAGAGAAAATAGCTGCTTCAGATCAGACATGGCTTCACCACCACCTCCAAGTATCTCTAAGCAAGGATAACAATCACGCTTCAATTAATTTCAATGTCTTCATCAGATTTTCATTTTTCATAATTATCACATGCATTTCAACTAATTTGCTAAAGACTTAACCATTTGCAGAAAATAACCTTCTAACTTTGTCAAAGACTTTACTGAAAGAACTTGCAACATCTCCTCGATAGCATCCTCTGATACACCAACAACCTTCAGTTCCTTCTTCATCTCATCCAATGGAATTTTTTCTATCTGTTGTTAATATTAATAGCCAGAAGGAAACAGAGACAGAGAAGAAATTATTACATCGAGACGTGCGTCAAGAACGTGCACAAAAATGTAAATATTTATGGAACTTGAAGGCATAGATAACCAACCTTGTCTATGATGATGCAAACCTTGCCAAACATATTTTCAGGTATTCCGTAGCATTTTAATACTTCTTGCAAAACCTACCATCAAACTTACAACATAAGGCATTTACAGAAACTAAAACAATTAAAGTCTTCGATTCATGATTGAATGTTCAATAATTAATAAAGCAATAACTAAATTTATTGGAATAATCACAAAAGATGCAGAAAAAAATACCTTTCGACTGGAAACCTTAAATCCAACATCTGCTGCTGTAAGTCCGATTCGTTTGAAAAAGGCAACAATAGAAGATAGAAGCTCTGCTTCGGCCTACACAAAATATATATATATATATGAGCTTAAATAAAATGTGCACACATGCATATTTGTATATATATAAAAAGGTACCCTGTTCAAACAAGGCAGGTACAAAAGAGTTTACAACTAGAACATGTCAACATGGCTAGATGGGTTCACATTTTTTTCCCTAAGGTAAAGAAATGAAAAGCAGCAACTAACAAAGGACGAGATAAACTAAATTACAGGCTCAGAACCCACAAACACTTGAGAAGACTAAAGATTTACCAACAGAAATATCCATAGAAAAAATGACAGAAATCCGACTTTACAAGTGCTTGCTATTATCTTCTTTGCTGCACCAGAAAAAGAAAATACCATTTTTTGCATCATGCATCTTTAGAGAACGCATGAACTATATTCACTACAAGCTGGAAGCAACAAATTGGAAACCACAAGAAATTCACAGCTTCAAAGCTGCCTAATCATGCAAAAACTCTTTTCTTCAAAAGAGTAAAAAAAAACTGATGCCTTCTGCTGAACTTTGATAACCCGCTGCAACTTTTTCAACTGATACCTGGGACTTCTTCATGCCATCACACACATTACATACTTTGCTTCCCTAAAACGATTGTTCTTTTCTTTTTTCTTTTTGTTTAGTTTACACAACATGAAGATGAAATAGAACACATGCATCTCACAGTGCAGACCCTTGAAGGCATGAAATGAAGGGACACACATCCCATGTTGAAGGGATAGAAAGTTTCATGATTGTTGATTTCTTATATCACAAAACAAGCTCATTATGACTAGAAAAGTAATACTCAATCCAACCCCAATGTTCTGCTAGCAAGTCTACAACTTCACATACCGTAACCTCGGGTACACCAATGATATCCATATTCCATTGGTAATGCTCACGACGCCGACCTCTAGTCATTCTCTCATACCGCCAGCATTGCCCTATAGCAAACCATTTCAGTGGAAGGGACAAAGATTTTCTGGACAGAAAAAAAGATGGAGATCAAATTCTGACATCTGCACCTGGATACAAAGATAATTAAAAATAAATAAATAGACAGATACTAATTTTTCACACACATGATTTCAATTTTTTTTATTTATTTATTTACAAGAAAAGTGATAGAATATACCAACACGTTCCAAGATAAATGAAAACAAAGTGCATCTAATAATGCAAAGTACCCTTTCTGGATCACTAATCTTGCCAAAGAAGGAGTAAGCTCAGGTCTCAAAGCAACTCGACGATTACCCCGATCTTCAAAACAATAGAGCTACAAAAACAAAGAGCACGAAATTAACCAACGATTACACAAGATTAAATTCCAACATCAATTAGATTTTATTCCAATATTCTTCTACCAATATGCTCTAATATGAAGAGGCAACTGTTTGCAACATATGAACAGGGTGGGGGCAGGAAGAAGGCAGATGGTGCACAGAATACAAGCTCAAAAAAATTTGAAACGTGAATAAAGTAAAAGGCCAAAATTCTGTATATTCTGGATTTTATGTAATTACAGGATATAGCCATTCTTCTTCCTTTCTTGTATGATCAAGATTTTGGCTAAATTCAAGAAATTAGTGTCCAAAATTAGTTAAGGAAGGAACCAACACAAAAATTACACCGACACCAACCTGGTCTCTTATTTCTTCACCTGCTTTCCTAATGAACAGCGCCTCCGACTCAAGGACCGGAAAATCAACCTCCTCAAATCCATATACTCGTGAAACCTATTCAGCAACAAAAACTAAAGACCAAAGACACAAAAACCACAAAGCAAACTACAATTCGGATACGAAACCTCTCTGAAATTATTGAATAGCCAGTTGCGGAGTCGCATATCTTCCGGCGGAAAATCCCTGGTTCCTTTGGGAGGGTTAACATCGATCTTCTGCAATTCTTCAGTGACCAGCGTCGGAGATAGCGCCCCCGACCTGCCGCCACCATTTCCGCCGTCACCGGTAGACTGGGCGGAAGAGACGGCGCTGAGAGAAGAATGAAATTTGCGGTTACCGAAGAATGAGGCCTTCGGAAAGGGGATTCTAAGAATGATACTGAAAGCGAGTGACGAAGAAGAGAAAATGAAGGGCTTCAAACGAAGATTGAGGCGAGGTTGGAAGATAAGGAGCGATGAAGGCTTCGCAGCCATGGTGGTCGACAGTTCAGAGACGCAGCACAGTCAATTGCTCATTGGCGCCTTCTGAAGCCGTACTGCAAAAATACCGTGGATTTTACAATTACAGCCCTTTTAAAATATTGTAAATCATATTTTGCAATTTATTCAACTTTTAAATTTCTCCTAAAAAAATATTTTTGAACTCTAAAATCATTTTTAAAAATATTTTTTTATTTAAATAAATTATAGAAATGGATGGTTGGAAATATACAAATTACACTGTGATATTATTTATAGTTATATAATATAACATTAATATAGTTGTTACCATTATTTTTATTTTCAAAAATATCGTTAGAATAATTTACATAATTATCATAAAATAATGTCATATATATCTTCTAGCTTTTTAAATATTTATTTTTCATCTAATTTCAATAAGACACTCTATAATTTATTTTTTGTTTTTAACAAAAAAATAAATTTAAGATTTAAAATATAAAATATCAAAATTTTGTAATATAATTAAAACCAACCCCTATTTCTTATTTGGTTTAATTTGACCTTACTAAGTAAATTCTTTTTAATGCTTATTTGATGAAATACTCTGCGCTCAGTCCATATTGATTGAGCGTAAGGCCCAAATAAAATGCTCATAAATGATATTTGACATGGGATGATAGTCCAAAATAATTCTATTAGACCTAATAAATACTTTATATCATAATTGAAAAATTTTAGGACTAGAATCTCTAGTATTCTCTTGTTTATTACCTGCGTCTACGCAGAATAGCGTTACTCGTTTTTATTATAAAACTGAAAGAAATGGAGGGAACTAAATAAGAACAAGAGGGATCTAAGAGGGATCTACGGACGAAGATACTTCTCATTCAAGTGAAAAATCAAACTATCGAAATTTAAAACGGTAATTAGTATACTAAATTGACCATTTTGGTGGGGATTATCATGAAGAACAAAATCATTGATGATGGATAATAATATTTTTTATAAGAAGGATAGTGATAAATTTATATATTTTTTTCACCAAAATATTATAAAACAGGGACCTTGACATTCAATGAAGATGGTGTCCATGTGATCAGGTTCAAGATCTTGGAGAGGTCGATACGATGTGGACTTCCCGGTTATTGAGCGGCTGCAATGGCCTTGCATTGCGCTCTGCATACTGCACTTACGAAAATATGTACTCAAAAACATTTGAAGCAACAAATTTGTCAGAATTTAGTGGTAAAAGTAATTGAGTTTCTTACATCATGAACAGCTTCTCTCAGAAGTCGCACTTGCTCTTTTGAAACTGTTCTTATCTGTTGCATTACCATTCAAAGACTCTGATAAGATTGAGCTATTCATGTAGGCAATATTGTAACAAATTCGAAATGGCTAGAGCTAAGTTCAAAGTTTTCGATTCGAAGAATCGGAAACTTGTTCCTTATTCATTCTAATCCATTTGATATATGCTAAACTCGCCTATGATATTTCATTCATTTTGGACACAGTTAATAAGGGAATTTCTATCGACCCGTTTTAAGATTTACTTTCGATGTTCATAATCAAATGGTTAAGAAAAAAACTCTTCCTCACCTTCTTGTTTATGACCCAAATTACACCTTCACTACAGGGAGGAACAGTGAGAGAACCAAGGTATTTGTAGTACTTATTACCACCAAACTTGATATCTGCAGGATCTATCTCTCCAATCCCCATTTCATGCTCTCGATCAATCATGTAGCTTATTTGCTTACTGAACTGAACATCAAGAAACAATAAGTTTTTGTTAATGAATGAGCTTTTATGAAATGGTTGCCGTGTGTTATTTGGATTATAAATTTGTTTGAATCAAATGACCTTAATCTAAGCCACAGTATTGGGATTGGATTGGTTGGTTGGGATTGTTTGAATACTTCATTTACAAGTAAACCGTTAAGAAACAAAATAGTTGTAAGTTCGGAATTTATTGACCAATTTTTACAGGTATTATTCAAAATTGTACATTTGAGGAGATTAAATACAATGCTCTAAGATTTGAACTAATCTTTGCTTCAAGAAAACGTTTGTGATCTGAAGAGAACTCAAAAGAATACGGTAAAATCAGATTAAAAGACACATGCATAATTAACTATTACTCATAACAGGTAAAATGTTATCCTTTTCATCAATAATTTGTACTGATTCGAATTCTCACAAATCAATTTTAGGAAAATCATGAACTAGACCACAAAAAAAACTCAGAAATCACTTGGACCTATTCAAGCTTATAATCGAGCCATTTGAATTGGGTTGTTTTGTTGTGTTTGGAGGTGGTTTACCTGTGCGAGAAAAGGGTCTGGTTTGCCAGTTGTATAGAGTTGACCAACAACAGCAATCTTGTTCTTCCCATTGGGATCAGAACTTTGGTGAAACATGTGGAGTTCCATGTCATACCTGATGGGTTATCAATGTTAATCAACAATTTAGAATCATCATTAGATAATTCAAAAGAATAATTATATCTTGATACAATAATTAAAATATTCTATTAATTTCAGGGTCAAAGAAGATGGGTTTGTAACATCTTTTTAATGCAAAAGAGATACCTTCTTCCATTGATGGAATGCTCTGAAGGTGAGTGCCAATGCGCTTGTTGAAGATCATAAACAACGCCGTTTACCTTGATTGATCCTGCCTTGCCAACCCAATATATCTACATCCACAGGCACATTAAACGAAAGAAAATAGAGAAATCAGAAACCACAAAATTTGATGAAGAGAGAAGGAATCTGTTGAATTTCTTACAGAAATGTCATGGCCCCTATTTTTGACCGTTGCATTGCAAGGTTTGTAGCTTCTCTTCAGGACTCCAAGCTTCGGAACAATCTTCACTCTCTGACTGGATAAGTCTATGGGAGATTGCAAAACCCCATTATGACAAGCTTCCCACTCTTTCTTTATCTTTCCCCAATGTCTTGGCCCTTTCTCACTCCCTTCTCTGTAATCAAATTCCCTCTCATCCTCTGCAACCCAATGATTTTGAAATACCGAAGTAAGCATTTGAGCCAAAACTCTAGTTTCCATCTCAAGAGTTTACAATTAATTTTGATTAAAGGAATGAGAAGTTATTCACATAAAACGATTCAGATGAGAGCGGTACGTCGATTCAATAACTAGTCAGTAGAATCAGAAATGGACATAGAAACCTAAACGTACGGTCTAAACACAACAAGAGAATGGAGGTGGGAGAAATCAAAACAATGATGCAGACTTGCACGATTAAATGAAAGAAAAATTGTTCACATAAAACGATTCAGATGAGAGCGGTACGTCGAAAAACTAATCAGTAGAATCAGAAATTGAAATAGAAACCTTAACATATGATCTGAAAACAACAAGAAAATGGAGATGGGAGAAATCAAAACAATGTTGCAGACTTCCAGTCAAGAGTTTACTGCAACTATTTCGAATTACCGATGTAAATATTCGAGCCAAACAATCTATAGCTTCCATCTCAAGATCTAACACCGATTTTTACACGAGTAAGTAAATGAATCGCCAAACGATTCAGACGAGAGCAGTCCTCTTCGACTCAAAACCAATTGATAGAATAAAAAATAAAAAAATCGAGACCGAAACATAATAGCTTAAATGGAAGGCAAAACGCAGATAGAAAAAGGAAAAGGGAATATCAAAACAACATAGACAGAGATATATCAGTAACGGTGAAGAGCTTACCAACTTCTTGGGCCGAGATTGAAGACAAATGTAGGGAAAACAGCAGAAGCGAGAAGAAAACGATGAGTGTAGTCCCAATTTTCATGGCTTCTAGAGCGAAAATTGAATCGAGGAAACGGATTTGCAAGACAAAGCAATGGAATCGGAGTCGAAATTCGGCCAATTCTCTCAGATTATGAACAATATATAATGTATAAACAACGAGAGAGAGAGACGGAGAGCAGTGGGAAATTCCTGGGGAGGTTCTGATCCAATGGAGAATGAAAAGCTAGAAGAATAAAAAGTTTGGAGAGTTGCTGTTCATAACGCTTCCATGGAAGGCGGGAAGCGCTGATCGAGTCATTTTCCAGTGCTTTTTTTTATTTTTATTTTTTTAATATATATATATATATATATATATATATATATATATATATATGTATATATATTTACTTATTTGTAATTTTAAATTATCTAAAAAATATTGACAATTGTTCCAAAATCGATATAAGAATGGGTGCAGAAATTTAATTTTAAATAATATCAAAATTTTGAAATAAATCTACTAATCTTAATATTCAACATAATTAAAAACTGAGATTAAATGATATCGCCTAATTTTATATAATTTAGCTAATAAATGTTATTTTAAAGAAAATATCTCATTTTTTTTTAGAATTAAAAATGAATGTGGCTGCTGGGATTCGAGCCCAGGTCTTCACGGCCACAACGTGGAATTCTCACCACTAAACTACAGCCACCTTGTTAATATAAGATAATTTGAACCCTTTAAATTAACATAAACTTGTGAAGCATTATAATGAGAATTTTCTTTAAAAAAATACTTAATTTTATATTTTCGAAAACTAGTGCTCGGTAAATTTTAAAATGTTAATAAAAATAAAGATGCTTTTAACTATTAAATTATTGGGATAGGTTCATTTAATTTTTATTTCGGACCAGACAGATCGGTGGAATATATTTCAAATAATTGGCATAAAAAAAAAACAATAAATATTTTTATATTAGAGAGTGTGAGTGCATTAAATACCCTCCAGCTTCTATAATGCAAATATTAAATAGAATTTTGACATGCAAAATATTCTTACTTAACCAATTTGGATTAAAAACAAAACTTTGAAATGCTAAATTTAATATTTGCTGAAAATATATAGATTAAAAATGATCCAATTTTAAATTTAAGTACTAAATATTAGGTCAATGGTTGGTTGGTTGCAATTCTAAATTTCAAGATTTAATTTATTTATAAAATATTAAAAAATAGGCATTATAATTATAATATAATACCCATTACTTCATTATATATTTACATTTTAATTATTATATTTATTTAAAATTTTGAATGTACAAAATTATGTTGAAGTGAAATAGTGGGCTCAATTGTGGATTGGGCTGAAAACGAAATTGATGATAAAGGCCCAAATGATAATGGGCTCAAAAGATAAATAATAATATAAATATAAAAAGATATAATTTAATAATATAAAATAGATTAATTATGAAAGAGACACAAAAGGTATGGGCCTCGAAGAACATGCGGAGGTTCCTTTATTAATTAATTAATTAATTTATTTATTTATTTAGAAGTAGTTTGATAACCCCAATTACACGCATAACTTTAAATTAATTAATTAATTAATTAATAATAATAAGGAGATTAAAGGTTGAATAATAGGGTAAAGCCAAGAAATTAGGGCTCTCTTTTTAGTATCTTTCTATCTCTCTTATCAAGGAAGACTCAAAACCATCAATCATATCAAGAAAATAAAAATACTATTTTTGTTTTTATTAAATAAATAAGACCATCAGAGATACAATTATATTTTAATTTTGGATAATGTTGGCAAAAAAGAAATAAATATAAAAATAAAAATTATAGGACGTAAATTTTTAGATTAAACTGTTATTTTCAGTTTTATATACTTCTCAAACCTCTTGATGAATGATAATAATTATTATTATTTTATCAAACTTGATAAAAAAAATAAAAAAAATAAAAACATTACCCAAACTAATAGTAAAGACTATTTTTAAAATTTTAAAAGTGGAGGCTAAAATGAAAGTTGAAGAACCAAAAGATACGTAGTAATAACCGTCATGGTCTAGATTATGGCTACCATCATCATTGTGCTTTTTATGATATGATGGATGACCTAGTGCATGACCAAGAAAGACATATTTACGAATGATTCTTTAAATAGTATTGTATTTAATTTGTGATGTTCTATAGTCATATATAAACAAAGTGGTTCTAAAATAGAGATGTGTCTATTGACTTCACATGGCTCCACTTCAAATGAGATAGGGATCCACGTTTAAACAAAAAATGGGAGAGTTAGTAGAGAGAGATTTCGCTCCATAATATAAACGGGACCCGGGCAAGCTCCATAATATAAAATGGTTTTCATTATTTGCAACACTAAAAATTTCTCATGAGCTTCTTTCATTCTCGATAATGAGGATGATAGCTTCTCGATAAACAGGGCAAGCTGTCTTCTTTCACATACATATTAACAAATACATATATATATATATATATATATATATATATACACACACATAAATCTTTGACATTGGAATATTTAGCAGATGAGATAATGGAGGGAAGGAATCTCAACTTTGGTTTCTTTTTTAAACACTTTAACATGAAAAAATTAAAGAGAAGAAAAGGAAAGAGGAAAAAAAAAGTGTATTTTTCTTTACTCTATGGACACATTAGTTTGTATAAGCCATTTGGATACTTCATTTTTGGGCAACTAAAGGTGAATGGAAAAAAAGTCACATACAAATTTATAAGGGTACCAATAAGGAGTGTAAAGCGTTCATAAAGAAACAAGATTAGTTCGGGTTTTGGTACGAAAAAAGTCAACAATTTAGTGAAGGGCGCATTTAGAAAGAAATAAAGTTCGCTCTATTTTACCATTGAGTTGTGGTAAAAAAAGGTCAAATCTTTTAATTCGAAAAAGTTAAAAAGTGTGTTTGGTAAGAAACAAAATTGGTTAAAGTCAAAATTTTAGTTTGGATTAGTTTTCTAAGCAATTACACCATTTTTAGAAAATACATTAGCATTCTATTTAAAATAATTTTTATAAGTAATATTGAAAAATATTTATTAAGATATATATTAGGAACAAAATTTAAATCTTAAAGAAGGTAAAAGAAAAATAAACCCTAAACTCCCTTTGTGGGGCCCGATGTCGTTAAAAAGAAGAGAAGAATCAACCGTGGATTGGCGCGCGTGTTCCATTTAGGGCGCTCGTGCCTTGTAACACGCCGGAAACGGTGAAATCACTTTTTTGCCACCCAATAACCCAACAATTTGAATTTATTAGCATTAATGAAGGAAATATATATAAATAAATAAATAAATACACACACACACAAAAGGCAATTATCTTCACTAAAACAAAGACGTCTGCCTCTTCTGCCTCTTGATATTTCAACCGATTGTTAGTTGATATAAAAAATAATAGGTTAGGGGTCCGAATCTCCACTGAAGCTGTTGTATATACACAAAAGGAGAAAACATGAGTAAATATTGAAGTAAAGAGCGGAGAATATCCTTTTACCACCTCAGAAATTGAGATTAAAAAGAAAAACAAAAAAGAGAAAGAAAGGGAAAAAGAAACAGAAGAGAGGAGAGAAGAGGAAGAGGGGAATCTTCAAAGAGTCAGTCCCATAGTCAAAAAGGAACCACTTTTCTCTCCATATTAACTTCTTTACGTTGCAGAGCATTATCCGGTTCCAAACCCAGATACTTACAATTATTTATACGGCCCAATCATCTTCTGCCACCTCACCACCACTTCCAACTCTGTTTTGATGAAACAAAAACGGTCTCAAATTTTGAATTAGGGATAAGAAGGGTGAACAATGGTTTATGCTCCACACTCCGCAGATTAAATGAAAAAGGAGAATTTAGGCCTTCAAGAAGAGTATATTATAAAACCTTGAGACGAAGGCAGGAAGAAATATTCTAAACAAGACAACATCAATCAAAAACTCAAAACCCAAAATCCAAAGGTTTCTTTCTAAAGTAAATTGGATACAACTTTACTCCTCGAGAACCAAAGATTCTCTCTCTCCCCCCCTCTCTCTCTCTTTCTCTCTCTAACTGAATCCCAAAAGTCTATGACAATGATTATACTAGACAGGAGGAGAATTGAGAATGCTTTTGAGGGTAACATGGAAGGAAGAAAACGAAGAAAAACAAATAAAACACAGTTCTCCACTCAGACAACAAACAAATACAACTTTAGGGCAATATCTAAGCCTGCAGAGAGAGTGAGTGAGTGGGGTGGGAGACTGAGAGAGAGCGAGAGAGAGTTTACCATTTTTGCTCCAAAATGTTGACCACAACCTGCATTGTGCTGCTAGCTTTGCTGCTACCCTCCTGCTGGCCGCTAGGTGCCGCCGCCGCCGCTCTCAACCTCACTCTCCCCGGCCAGCATCCGAGCCCTGAACTGGTTGCTCAAGAAGTTCACAGGTCCATCAATTTTCCATTCTTTCCACAAATGTTGTTTTAGAATCACTATGTTCTTGGCTTGGCTCTCACTCTAACTGTCTGCATTTTGGAACTTTTAGCTACATTGTCCATTTTCTCTACTTTAATGGCCAGTTTCAAGATTTTTATGCTTCTTTTTTTGTAGGATTTCATGTATTAGAGGTACAAAATCAAGTTTAAAGCCCGGTCTTTTTGTTTCTCTGTTCTTGGTTGCTCTGTTTTTCATGGCCTTGTTTATTTCAGCTCTGTGTATCTACAGTGTCTTCAGTTTTGAGTTTTCTTGACCACATTATTAAGCATTAACATATAAAACTTATGCTTAAATCTTACGCTACCAATCTTGTTCTGGTTAGTAACTATTATGTTTCTGACCCATTGTATAAACTTTTAGCTGCATTGTTGGATTTCTTCACAAATTTAATCATTTTTTGAAATCTTAACCTACTTTTACAGATTTAGTAATTATAAGAAAAAGAAAATGCCATTCAAATCTACAGTTTTCCATTTCATTTCATATCTTAATCTTCATGCACTGTTCTTTGTTAGATTTCGGCATTTTTAAAAGAAAAATGCTGCATAATCCGTCTCCTTCGCAACAGTTATTGGCTACTCTGTTTTTGTTTCTGTTTTTGGTGAAAAGTACTGAAAATCCCCAAGTTTTGTCGAATTTGAAGGTATATCTTTGCAGATTCAACCATTTATGGAGCTGACATTTAGATTATACTGTCTAGGAAATGTCTAAGTTCCTCGAAAATCCGAAATTATGGAAGGAAATTGTTACCTGTTGCAGGAAAGTGAATGCTTCCGTAACGAGAAGGCAATTGCTCCAAAGCTTAGAGAAAGACGAATCTTCTTCTTGCTACACCGGGAACCCCATCGACGACTGCTGGAAATGCGATCCAAACTGGCCAAACAACCGCCAGCGCCTCGCCGATTGCGCCATAGGCTTCGGCCAGTACGCACTCGGCGGCAAGAACGGCGAGTTCTACATCGTCACAGACGATTCCGACGACGATGCAGTCAATCCAAAGCCCGGAACGTTACGATACGCCGTGATACAGCCTCAACCTCTCTGGATCGTCTTCCCGGCCAACATGCTCATTAAACTCAAACAGGAACTCATCTTCAACAGCTACAAAACCCTAGACGGCCGCGGCGCCAATGTCCACATCGTCGGCGGTGGCTGCATTACATTGCAGTACATAAGCAACGTCATCATCCACAACATCCACATCCACCATTGTTATCCATCGGGTAACGAAATCGAAAAACCTAATTTACCTTCCTGTACACCAAATGTTCGACGAAATACATCGATCTGAAGCTTGGCTCTGGCTCTGGCTCTGCAGGTAACACCATGGTCCGATCAAGCCCGACGCATTACGGATACCGCACGAAATCGGACGGCGACGGGATATCCATCTTCGGATCGAAGGACATATGGATTGACCATTGCTCACTCTCGCATTGCAAAGATGGGCTGATTGACGCGGTGATGGGCTCCACCGGAATCACAATTTCAAACAATTATTTCTCACATCACGATGAGGTTATGCTTTTGGGTCACAGCGATAGCTACTTGCCGGATTCCGGAATGCAGGTAAGTTCCCCATCCCTACTTGTTTCTCTCCGTAAATTACTTAAATTAGTTTAATTAAAAGTTAATCCTCGTTTTTTTACTAATTTATGTCGTATTTCAAATTTAGTTAATCTATTAAATTTTAATCTTTTTTGAAATTACAATATTACCCTTATTCTTTTATCAACATTTTTTAATAATAAAATAAGGTTTTTGCATTTTATAAAGGTAACAATAGCGTTCAACCACTTCGGCGAGAAGCTAGTTCAAAGGATGCCGCGATGCCGGCGAGGGTACATTCACGTTGTCAACAACGACTTCACCCAATGGGAAATGTACGCAATCGGCGGCAGTGGGAGCCCCACCATCAACAGCCAAGGCAACCGCTACACCGCCCCATACGACCGCAACGCCAAGGAGGTGACCAAGCGGGTTGAAACATCGGAGTCCGAGTGGCGGGGTTGGAACTGGCGCTCCGACGGCGACATCCTCGTTAACGGCGCCTTCTTCGTTACCTCTGGCCAAGGCCTCGAAGTCAAGTACGAGAAGGCCTACAGCGTCGAGCCCAAATCAGTCGCCCTGATCGACCAGCTCACTTGGCACGCTGGCCCGCTTGGCGTCGGCGGCAGGGATAACAATTTGGGGATGTGGACCACTGGCCCCAATGGAGGGGGAGGCTTTGTCATTGGGTCTGGTCCGGATTACACTGACGACATGTCCGAAAGCTTGTCTCGGATTGGGTCTCCTTATTTTGTTATGGTATTGTCTGTTTTGTTGTGTTCTTTTTGCGCATTGGCACTCGCATTTGTGCAATGACGACATTGAAGCATTTGGGGATGAAAGCTTATGACAGAACAGACAGCGAGAGTGGTTTTTACATTCTTTTAAAAGGCACAAAGGCCTAAAATGTAAATCCATTCGTCACCCATTTCATGCCAAAACTGACTTGAGTTTATCTAATTTGTTTTTGTTAAATCAGCTAGAGTGGTATTAGCTTGAAAAAGAAAAACTTATAGTAGTACAGGACCCGTTACTTTCATAGTTAAACACGTCTATTTCACAAGCTCCACATTTTCTAGGATAAAAGAAGGATATCGATATCAACCTATATAAGGAGAGGTTTCCACATCTTTATAAGTAATACTTGATTCACCTCACAATCCAACCCGTTGGAGTCTAACGTCCTCACTGACACACCGCACGATGTTTGGCTCTGATACCATTTGTAACAACCAAAGTCTACCGCTATTAAATATTATCCACTTTAGCTCGTTACATATCCTTGTCAACTTCACAATTCTAAAACGAATCGGCTTGGAAGAAGTTTCTACACCCTTATAAAAATGTTTCATTCCCTTTTCCAACGTCCTTAACTCGAAAAGAGATAGAAAATAAGAGCATCTACATGATGCTCAGCAAAGGAGGTTTATAATTGTGCATTATTTTTCAAGCAACAGAAACATCATCATAAGAAAGCTAAAAAAGAAAAAAAAAAAAGAGGATTTTAAGTGAGAAGGGCAAAAAATATATATATTTATAAAGCACATAATAATACTTCACAAATCATTCTTAAATCTGCAGCAAAACTACTTAAAAATTCCGTACATTTTAAATTACATTTACTGCTGCTGGATGCGGATGCTGATGCTGGTTTCTTTCTTCTGATACCTTCACCTTCACCTTCCCCGGGGTTTGGATTCCAACCAAGAAGAAAAAGAAAAGAAAAAAAAAGGATAAAGAAAGAGAGTTGGGAGTGAAAAAAAATGAAAAAGAATAGCAAAAAATTTTGAGAGGGTCAAATCTGGACCATCTATATCAGTCATTTATGTTTAAAACTGTTACCACGCAGTCTCCACTCTGTGTGCAACATCTGCCAGTCTTTTCCAAGCTAATTCTCTCTGCTCTTCCACCTCTTTTGCCTTCATCTCTTTCTCTGTGTACTGCCTCTCACATTCGTCAAACAACTCCTCGTCCATTTCTATGAACATCTTTCGAACATTGACAGTCAGCCCATGAACCGCCTGGTTCCAATGACTTTGGATATTCTTCTCCAACGCTTGAAATATTATTGGCAATATCACAGCCCGGTTTTGGGCTATCAAACCAACAATATGTTCATTGTTCCACAGAAACAGAGCTCTTTCAGACACCTGCATCATACATTCACAGGGGCCTTACAAAAACTGGGGGAACAACAACCCTCAACAGCATCATACCGGAGGAGACTTCAAAAAGTATTTGGTTTGTCATTAATAAAAAGATGGATTACTGAACTGCACATATAGAGTAATTGAGCTTTTCAAATCCTTGTCAGGCAGGTCTACATTGTCTATCATTCCAAATGCTCATGCATGCATACTTCAGAAATGTGAAAACTCTAATCACATAAGTCTTTGTCAGCAAAACAAAAGGCAAACACGTTTTCGTTCACCAAAGAAAGCCCTAAGAATATTTTCATGGATAAATGCTTTCAAATCACACACTAATCAAACCAAAAGCTCTCTTCCAACAACAGATTATATCTTGGGATAGGTCAATCTCAACTAGATTCCCTATAAAACAAAAAGCAATTCATCACATTCTTAAACTTTTCTAGTGGCTCGTTATACAAAACGAGACATTCTTATACTTTTCACCGTTTATAAGTCCAAATCTTAAGCATTAGAAGCCATACACTAACTGGCAACACCCATCAGAAAAAAACAGAGATATACCCCCAGGCTGCCACCTGTTTTACATGTAAAGAAGATGCATTTTAAAACCACAAGAAGAAACCTAAAATGCCGTGAAAGTTGAAGAATAGATTTCTCTTATGGATATAAATTAATTAATGCACATTTACATTACCATCATAATGATGCCGTCATTAACCATTTAAATAATAATTTGAATTTTTTAGATCAATAAATTGATGTTTTTACACAGTTAATTTAAATTAATAAGAGTATATTAAAATAAATACGTACTTAAATTAACTGCGTACATCTTTGAATGCATTGCCATACAAACTAAACACACATCTTTGACATGCATCCTATAATTTTATGCAAGCAGCAAATTAAATGGATCCTAATGGTCTTTCATGGTGTCCCTCCCATATCATGTTAAAATTTAGATACCTAAATTTGAACCTGTCCTCGGCTTAGGCATTCTGTGGAGCACAAGGGAGGAAAAATAGACCACCCATTCCCTTGTCACGCTTTTGCTACTAGCCTCCGGCACAAGCGTTTCCAGATTTTTGGCTGAGGGGGATAGTTTGCACTAGAGAAATTTTACAGTTTCATAACATCTTCACTTTATAGTTTAAACCCATCCCTTTCAAGAGGAAAAGTAATATCCTTATGGTTAAAGGGCTACTCATCACGAAACTCGGCTAAAAGAGGAATAAAGGAGCATGAACTTTCCACGGTGTTGACAGAGGGTTGGGCCAAATTTGGAATGTTATTATAGTTTTTGTTTATTCTTGGTGCTCTCACAGCAGAGGATTTAATAATTACATTCCTTCTTCTACTGAGGCTATTGAAGACAGATTTTGTTGTAGCCTTGGCCTTTTAGTTTCAGCTATCATATGTTCCAATGAAATATTTAGTACCCAATCACATGGCCGAAAAAATATATACCAATCTAAGTTTTGGTCATCACTCCTCAAACCATTACTATTGTGTCATAATAAAACCTTAACTAGGCCCTACGATGACAACATCTGGAGTCCCCACATTAAAAACACCTCCGAACAGGGGATAATAATTGAACAAGCCCCATGACATCAATTAGTGATTCAAACCTACAAAGCGGAAATCAAATTGAGAGAAAAGGAATCCCCGTACATGTAAAGTAAATCCTCAGATAATTAAATAAGTAGTAATATCTAAGTTTCAATAATAACAGAAATTGATAGAGATCTTTCAATTAGGAAGAAAAATTATAGAACCAGAAGGATTTTACTCATCACAAAAAGGAATTCGTGTAATTGACTATGAAACTGTTATGAAGCAGTTTTTTAAGAAGCAGAAGAAACGAACACTGGTATGCCATCAAAGATACAATGTTCCCAAATCAAATTCATTAAATCCAGACCTGGGGCAGAACATCAGGTTTTTTATGAAGCAGAAGAAAAGAACACAGATGCACATAGGTTGTTATGTTCCACAAAGGGACAAGGCCAACTCAGAACGTCCAAAAAAAAAAATCAAAAAGTAACCGAGAAACAACCACATTATAAGCTAAAGAAAATGTAATGCATATGTTAGGATTCCACCACTTTTATATTACATTATCGAATAAACCAACCAATAAACATAGTACAACAGATGAAGAACTACAGTTATCAACAAATAAAACAGCCTTTAAAAAACAAAGTAAGAACTAGAGGGCATCACTGTTTAGTTTTTTAACCACTTTTGGCTAGTCATATTAGGGAGGATGCAGTGACTGCAAGTCCAGAGGGTACGAATGTTTGTCCTCTACTTTGCCATCCAATCCATCCCACCAGAGTTAATAAACAAACTAGTAGTATTTCAAAGTACGATTAACAACGAAAGAATGATAGCAAGAAAAGGAAAAAAATACCTCGGGGATAACAACTATTGCTCCCCCCCCCCCCCCCAACTCTCTCTCTCTCTCTCTCTATGAGAGACGAGAATATATATTTATGATTTAAAAGGAAATAGACAAAAAGGACGCGACAAGAAATTCAAATATGGGAAAATCAAACTATAGAGGCAAAATCAAACATCGAATCTTGCAAGACACAAAACAACTGAATAACTAATGCTCCTCCTAGTTATAAACAATTAAAATTGGTCTATTAAGAGCGTGGATAAACAGTTAATAAGATTTGTGATTATCAGCAAGACAAATTACTTATGCATCTCTATGTTGAGACAAAATTTTAATGCATTATGTTATAATATCAGACATACAAATCATGCTAATGAACAGAACATTGAAAATATTTATTAACTTCAAACCTGAAAATGAGAGCTATTCAGGCAACGTGCAATCTGTCTAAAAAGTGGAACCATGCAGCGCTGAAACTCCGCTGATTGTGTGGCCTCTAGTACTTCTTCAAGCTCTCCCAAGAAAAGAACTTCTTTCTGGCAGTTGATCAAGGGCCAATATTTCAACAAGCCCCTTATAACAGTATCCGCTAACTTGAAATCTTTCTCAACAAACTGTGTTATGCAGTAGGATAGCTGTTGGTGATAGATTGCAATTGATTTAGGCTTGTGCAAAGGAATAAGAGCCCGAACAAGAAACAATTTATGCTCCTCTTTCATTGGTAATGCAAACCCATTGATGATACTCCCAAGGATTTCCAAAAGCTCACCAACACCACTGTGTCTTTCTGTCTCGTAAATGAATCGATAAAAAATGTTATTGATAGCCTTCCGAATAAATGGCCGATGGACCATGAACTTTCCATATATACGATGCAAGATTGTCTTCAAATATTCCCGCTCACGAGGATCCTCAGAGTCAAACAAATCCAAAAGTTTCAACACGAATGAGTGGTCAATATACCTCTTGGCAATTTTGGTATCAGTATCAGATGACACAACATATCTCAGTAAAAGTTCATATACAATCTGCAAATGAGGCCATGACGGTTCCAGATAAGGTTCGTCTTCTTCAGGATCAGCATTTTCCTGGCCCGTATTTTCATACGAAGCTGGAGGCAAGCCCCGAAAAATATTAACTGAAATCATTCTAATCATTTCTTCTTGACAAGTTTCTGTGATTTTGCCCGACCCCGATTGTATCACATCAACCAATTCCATAAGAGTCTGCCGCTTAATTTCCTTCTCTCTGGCAGACTTCATTGTGTCCGAAAAATCAAACTGATAGCAACATATCTGCAATTTTCTAATGAATAAATTCTGTCTTTCTGAAGCCGGTGCATCGCGGAACAACGGGAGAGGTTCGATAGTGCCGGTAGGAGGCGTCAACATCATCACCCCCGGAGCCCAGTTTGAATTGGGGCCCGATGCAGCAGGTCCAGGC